TCCCAGTCAGCCAGAAAATGCCACTTGGTATCACACACTGGTGAATGAGATGCAGAAGTATAGAAGATAACACTCTCTCAACACTTTGAAGTTGTCTGCTGCAGATACCTTTAAACTTTTTAACCCCGCATATTACAGCAAGACTGACTATTCTGCTGCTACAGCATCACGATGGTCCTCTACCACTGACAGTGCAGGTTGGGCTTTCCGTACCTAGCTAGCTGCTAATGCCCGTGGCTGTTTCTGAAGGCACATTTAGTTGTGGGCACCTGCAGCGAACTCCTGCTGGTTACAGAAGTCAACCTTTTCTTAGGCTGGCGCTTTTTTAGGGGTGGGGTTTTTTTTTTTTTCCTTTTTTTTTTCCTTTGTACTTGTGTGAAAATTATACGGCTAGGAGGTTTAAGTCATAAATAGACAGAAATATTGCTTCTTGATAGTCTGTTGGTTTACAGAACTAAAAGGCATTACAGATTACAAAGCAGGCAATCTCTCTGCATTTGCACGCTGCAGATGCAGTTATGAAGCATATTCTTGTCCTGTTTGTTTTGAATCTATAAACTTCTCCTCCAAAGCTCCAGGCAACTCCTTGCCCAAAGGTTGCATAAATATGCAAACAACTCCTAATGGATAGTTAAGAACAATTATAAAAGTCTACTTCAAATTTTCAGCAAATGAAAAGGAACTAAGTCTATTGAGGACACTGTTATGAGTTAAACAGAAGTTACCTGAATAATCTCTTTACTGAAATGGTCATTCTAATTTATTTGAAAACCTCCAAATGTTTCTGAAAATGTTAATTATTTTGAATTAGTTTCACATTTGACAATCGTTTCATTTTTCTTTGCCTGTTTCTTTAATCCTGAAGGTTTAAATCTGACAGACCTCTATATGGCCCTTCATAAATTCACAAATGGCTTAGTTCTTCTCTTCTTGATACATTTGTATACTTCTAATTAATTTAAATCTTACTTGCAGAAAGAGTAGCTTATTTTCTTATTTTTCTTGGTCCTTTGAATCTAAATGGCCCAGCAATTTGACAATACATTGATAGAGATTTGCTGTTATCTAGGATTTCAAAGTGTGTCAGTAAGAACCCAGTATTTAGGCTGCCACAAGCCATAGGTCATTCGCAGATGTGTATATTACCCAACCAATGCATTACCAGAGTGACTACACTAAATCAACAATGCTTGAGTACTACTTCTATAAAATATGTCCTTGCACAAATCTACCATAGTGATTATGTTAAGTCAAAACTGAAACATGCTAACTTTGAATTCTGAAAGGGAAAATTTCAGCAATAACTACCTTTTGGAGGGGGGAGTGGGCAGGGGAAGCTTTGTCCTGAAAGTTATATATTTTTTAATATCATTTTCTTCCGGTTTCTTTTTGTTTGTTTGTTGTTTGTTTTTTAACAAGTATTAGTACGACTGTATTGCTTCATCCTAGAAGCATAATTTTATTCTTTTTTAAAATCAACTAAAAGATAACCAGGAGGAAGAACTCAATTTCAGAGAAATTCCAAAGCAGAAGATACTTAATGTGAAGTCTTAAAATTCCAGCCTGACTGATGACAGCTGTGTATGACATTGTACAACTCTAAAAATTTAAAAAGAGAAATTTTCTGGCAAATTACTCAACAGTATCTTTAGCCCTACGAAGCAAGGTGTACAGATTTGTAATTGGATTTCATTTATTTATTTACGATGATCCAGTCATTTGAAGGAGGAAAACAAACACGTGGGGTTCTGAGAAAAGCTATGTCAGAGGACAAAGCAAGGGTAAAACATGACTGCATAGTCTAATAAACCACACTGAAATCAATGCAGAAACATATAAAGGTATGTAGCTAGTGCTAGTCTAGATAAGACATAGCATCCTGTGGTTTTCAGCTGCTGCTCAAGGAGCATATGGGTCTGCATCATATTTGCTAGTCCCCTGTGGCTATACCAGGTGATAGAATTTTCAAAGTAGCAATACACGTCTATGTGTAAGGTACTCGAATCCCCTATTTCTACCTATAATACTTATCAGGTGCATATTTAGGTACCTGAATCACACCTGAGATACTAAACAAAGAACTTGGTGATTAATTTTTTTAAAATTTATTTAAATGGTCACCTTACTTTGTCAAGACTGCACAAGACCATAAATACATACAAACAACTGGACAGAAATTCTGACATCAAGTTTTTGCAGAAAGTTATGTCTGAGATGATTTTTTTCCTAGACATGATTACTTTAGTTGGAAAGAAGCAATGTCTCAATAAACACATTCAAATAGAAGCTTGCTCTGTTTCCTAATAGAAATCAGGTCTCAGATGATTGAGTGACAAATAACAAAACTGGTTACAAACAAATATTCCACACCTTTTGCTCACTCAGGACATCCTAGCTCCCTCTGCAGTGATTTCACTGTTTCCAGAGATCCCAGGCCTTCAACTTCTACAAAATCTCTCTAGTATTGTCCTAATTTGCATGGCACTGATGTTGCCTACCAGCAGGATACTCCAGCCCACCAGAAATCCAAATTTAACTGTAAATCACTGGACACAAGACAGCTTCTTCACACAATGCATAAAGCTGCTTAAGACACTCTCAGAACAGATTTCACCCATCATAGTCATCTTAATAATCGAAGTTAAGAGTAGAGATATTTATGCTCAGACTCCTATATCACAGAATTTTAAAGGCCAATTAAGAGAGAACATCTCTCAAGTATTTTACTTTTACACTTTGTATTCAACCCATTCAAATTAGAGATTACTTTGCTCCTGTTTTGTTTTAAACAGACTTTTATCTCCAAATAGCTTACAGGTTTAGCTGCCAAGAATATAAAGATGAAAGCCAGTTTTTAACCTCACAGACAGAATAACATCTCCCATAGAACTAAATACATATTATACACTTTTATCACAGATGAAGTAGACCTAAATTTTGCAATCTGTGCCCATGCTGCTCACAGAACCCCAATGAAAGAACAAAATATTTTTCAGGAAACATATCTGTACCATCTAAGCTATTGCATACTTCACCAAAATGCTCGTTAAAGCCTCTGTACTGAGCTAGGAAGACCATCTCCTAAGTCATACAAGCACCTTTAATCTGACTCCATTCAAATTAGCTGCACTTGACTGAGTTCTGCCACCAGAATGGCAAATCACTCCATTAAGCAGCACTGCATAATTACATTATAGAAGGGACATGCAGTCACAACTTATTTGCAATAATAATCACCCAGTTCTGCAAAATCTGTAAAAAATGCTCTAAAAAGTTGCTGGATGGATAAGATCTGACAGCAGATGCAGTTACAGTTATTAATTAAAAGGCATTAGTTGAAGCAGCCAAAACAATGAGAACTACCTAAGAAAAAGTAACATGTACTAGACCTGATGGCAAAATGGGGTATTTATATATCAGCTATAAAACGTGGATTCTGAAAATATGTAAGATAAGACAGCATTTACTGACTACTACAATTATGGGCCATCTACCTTCTCAAGTAAAAAGTATCAGAATTACAGGAACAAAAGGTGAAGAACAAGAAGGAAGAAAAATAAAAGCTCCCATCAGGCATTATTACTAAGGTTTTATCTACACAATGGAACTTGGGAAAATGAACCCAAATTAATTTAACTGGATTTGTCCATATTCATTAAATTCCTTTGTAAACACTTTCATCCAGGAATAAAATGCAGCCTTAATTTGGTTTGGCTCATCTTGCCTTCAAGGCCACTTCAATTATGAATGGGAGGGTGCACACAGAGACTTGGTGGGATTTAAGCTGCCCTCTTTAAATTCTTACATTTAGTTGATGTACATCAGTTTTCCTCAGTATCTTGTGTAGACAAACCCTGAACTGATACTTTAGACACAGGAGCGAAAAAGTAGAGAATGAGGGAAGCTATACTGAAGAATCCTCAATCGACACAGCAAACCCCATTGGGAACTAGCAAAGAACATCTATTATTCAAAAGAAGAGAACTGTTCAACTATTTTAAATTCAGTTCTAGGAAGAATACCACCAAAGTTCAGAGACCAACTAGGAAGTATTTTAAATAAGAGCTACATTTCAGTTTTCAGAAGTAGTATTTATTTAAAACGTCTACTATTTGCTTATTTATTTGAATTATTTGAAGCTAGAACTATTATTGATAAAGGACACCACTAAATTATTTTTTCAGGTGATTCAAGAATTAGAGGTTATAAATTATTATTGGAGGCTAAGATAGAAGAAAGTAGAAAAGAAAAACTGAAAAGACCATGCTGCATTTAAGAGCTATGACACACTCCCACTGAAGAAACATTATGGAAAGCTAGAGACACTCAATACCTTAAAATATCAACTCCCCATAAAATGTTCTGAATCACCTACAGTCACTGATAACACTAGCAAGAACTTAGAGGTCCTTTACTTGCTTTCCACCACTGATGACAGTAGCAAAAAGCACAGAACCCATCTTATGTCAGATGTGCACACAGGAGGATTAATTCTTCTTTTCAGATGTTCTCCTAGAACATTTTTACAACTGTATTTTCATGGAGCTTCAAAAGATTTGCATAACACTATTATTCTTAAGGTCAATTCTTGGAGCAAAAAAGTGTCATAGAAAAATGAGAAGTCCACAGAAATAGGGGTCCAGATATGAAATAAACTGGCAAGCAGGAGACAAAGCCTTTCCAGGTAAGGATCCTCTATATCTCTTCATCAGTATTTTTCAGCATAAAACACCACAATTGCTGTAATTTTTCCGCTTTCATACAGGACAGACAAAGAGAACGTAAGGCAATTGCAGTGTTTCCCTTATTTTATTCACAAGGAGTCTCACAGTATGTTCATTGTATTCTGGCAGAAAGCAGTAGCACAAGAGATAAACGTAATTCCACTGATGAAATTGGAATTGCCCTAAAACAAAGACCTTGATTTTAAATCAAATTCAAGTACCGATTATTCTTTTATCTGGGAAAGTGGTAGAGAAGTAGGCAGTATTATACTTTACTGTGCTAGAAATATAACAATTAGGGGTTTGAATGTTAATCTGAGGCCTCCTATTAAATGTACAGTTTCATTAAGTAACATGCATCTTTTCCTGTGGAATATCGCTCTACAGAAGCAACTAACATGAACAAGTTAGTTTTCTTCCTCAATCAGAATTTTTTCCTTCATTTTTTTCCCCCTCATTTTACTGTTTTATAAATTTTTCCTGATGCTGCAAGAAGACAGTGTTTCCAAATACTGAATACACTCAAATAAAGAAGGTATTGTGGCTAAAACTCTAACCTTAACACAGTTTTCTCTCACAAAAACATGTATTATATACTCTGCATGCATAAAATTTACTTCAGTATATAAAAAGCAAGATGTCTGAATAACCAGTATTGGATGGAGATAGATATATAGAGACATATATATATATATATTTAAAAAAAAAATGTGGAGTTTCATTAATTTTTTCAAGTCTGTGGTGCATTAGAAATGAAACACTTGGGCCTACAGGCACCACAAAAAACATGCAGCTCAACAACCAACGCAATGGAGACCATCTTAACCACTTACTATTTCTACATTGCAAATTCTAAAATTATTGTCATAGCAACAGCAGTCTAAGTCTCCATTTACAATGCAGCTGATCTTTGCAATTCATGCATAACTCCACAGCTTCCGATTTGCAATGTATCACAGTCAACTTTTAACTTTCAACTTGCTCCTGGGGGGAGAGGAACAGAACACACAGGTATGACCACTGGCACACAGTGGTCAGGAAGCAGCTCAACCCCAACCTCTGCTTTACAGCAAGTTACTTCCTCCTATACTCTCATTTAAGAACAAACAGCTGCTGCTGAAATGCCAGACTGCAAAGATTAGTCCTCCTGGTAAGGCTGCCTATTCATGAGCTGTAAACAGATATGCAGCTGATTAAAGCTACCTTTAAGCAAGTTTTTAATTTGATTTACTTACAACAGACTTTAAATAAGAGCTCCTTGAGGCATGTGTCAGATGGGCGTTATGCTGCTGGTTTTTGGTGAGGAAAATAATCCATTTTTGCCACAGTAGAAGGTATGAATAAACAAAATTTTGTCCCCTGAGAAATCTGGAAAAGAAGTAGTAGCATATTAATCATTGTACTTATTCTGTGCTATTTGAATAGCAACTAGCAAAAATCACCTTTACCTTTGACCCTGGGAGCCTAATGGATACTACTCCCAGTGCAGACAAATTATCATATACAATAATTTGCATTAAGAAGATTACTTTGGCACAATCCAGAAAATTATGAAAAAAAGATTATGAATGCACAAAAATATCCTTATCACTATCCTACGTGAAAATGACAATTCACACTTTAAAATTCCCTTAATGGTTTGCTTTAACATTCATCAAATACAACTTTTTGTTTTTCTTCTCATAAACTAACAAAATCCAAGGCAATGAACCAGCGAAGAGTTATCCAGAAGAAGACTCAATTAGGACAGCCATTTTCTTTCATGGATAAAAGGGACAAACACATGAAGAAAAAAGGAACGCTAGTTTATTTCATTAGATTTATTTATTTTTAAAAGAAACACCATTTCCCTTTGCATATAATCTATTCCTATCTCTTAAGTCCTGCTGCTTGCAAATACATAATCCAATTACTATAAGCTTCACCTTATTATTTTAAAAGGCACTTACAATCAGTTTTACTGTTTCTGTTTTTTTTAATCCTTTCACAAAACTCATACGCTTGTAACTGAGCCCAGCCTTATCAAAATCAGGATTAAACAGATATTTGCCCAAAACCTTTGCTCATGGAAAACCTTCCTTCTGATAATGCTTTTAAAACAGGCAGAAATACAACAAGGTCCAGAATTTTTATGAGTTTGTGAGAATCATGATATGAAAACAGAACATTATATTATTTCTCATTATTTCCTAGAATACACACAGAAATAATCAGATCTCAATAGATAATAGTCCTTATACAAAAAAACCCCAGTTGCCTGGGTAACAACTCAACTGTAACATGAAGTGTTTGTGAGCTAATATATAGTATTTATTAATATTTCTAGCTTTTTTTTTTTTCCTTCACCATGAAATATTTTCATGCAAGAATCATACATCTGACCAAAGAACTATCTTCAGTTCTTCATTGGAACTTACTTATGGACGCAACACATCACAGATACCCTCATAAAGAAGCAAATTATTTTAAAGTTCAGCATAACAAAAAGAATCATTTCATACATCGCAAACAAAATACAAGCAGCAGTCAAACCACATTTGGCTACAACCCTCATCTTTACTGCCTTCACAGAACTTAAAAAACCACAATTGTAAAACCCTCACCAATTTACAGAAGTAACTTTTAATAGCTCTAACACTTTCAAAGACACCTCAACTGGAAGGGACAGAAATAACCCTCAAGTGTGAATATGCCTCAACATTTCCCTGTACACTCTGTTAGCAACTGAAGTATCTACACCATGAAACTCCTATTAGCTATGTGGAAATAACTAAAAACTGTTATGCAGCCTTCAAAAATCAAATTAAGTTTCTGCTAAGGAGACATCACTTTTATCACTGCCCTGGAAATAACCAATCAGCCAACATATATTCTTTTTTAAGCTACATATTAACAAACAGTGACTGAAACATTTTTAGAGTTTTGTTCAATGCATCAGCTGCACAGAAAAATAGATCCTTTCCATCCAACACTCATACTTTTTTTTTAAGCAAAACAATGTACCATTTAAACTATACTAAAAATTATTCCACTTAGTTTGCTGTCATAAATAAGTGATCTAAAAGATTACCATGGATCCTATGATTGCTAATGCATGTAGCTCAGCCCTTTTTAGCATTTCTCACATACACACTGCAACTTCAAGAATTTATTTAGTTTTCTGATTTTTTTTTAGTTTTTATCTGTTTCACTGAATACTATCTTTATCTTGATAGTACAGTCAGCAAAACCTCAAGCTTATATTTAGTGAGATTTACAGCAGTTATTGCCAGCCCCGCAACTAATTTGTTCAGTCATTCTGTGAAATGCAAGTTCTTCCTTACATATGGCCTTTCACCTGACCAGCATATGAGAGATTATAATCATAATCTGTGTAGGAATCAAACACTAAGGCTAAATTCAGATCTTAAAAACTTAATTTTGTTATTATGAATAGTCCTTCTGAAGTAGCCTTCTTCTTTACCCACTGACTCTAGAGTAAGCATAGGCTAAGGTCAGCTGCTGAGAATATGCAGTTTAAGATCAACCTTAAATGCTGCTTATTGTCTGTTGTATTCCCCTGTATAGTGGGCCAATAAACTGAAGAATGCTCCCCATATGACCACAACTTGGTCCATGACAAATTATACGGAGATATAAATATACAGAATAAAATCTTCATTAGATATCAAAAGGTTCAGGGTGTAAAGTAATCTCAGCTTTGATTCCTTTATAATTCTGGGGACAAATTTTAAATTTACCTTTTTACATTTGCATGCTCCCTGCAATAACATCTGTGAGAAGATAGCAAAGAAAATGAGGGAACACTGATTAAAGATGCTATATATATATATTTCAAAACAAAGAACCTGATCTCAAATAAGTCTTTTGAGGGTAAGGAGTCTTAGCAAAATCAACTGAGGCCAGATGGCAGAGAAGTTCTTCATTAAGAATCAATATTCACAGTAACTTTCTCATTTTTTCCCTATTTTTGTCTGACACTTTAAAGCAATCACTGACAAGGAGCTCAAGAAGCTTCCTCCACTCAGTTTTCAGAAGTACCTCAATTCTCTTCTGAGACTTTCATGCAATCCCTGTCCTAAACTCAAAAGGGATCCCATATTCCACTACTACTTCTGACACAGGACTGAAATACTTCCTAAAGTCCTCTCACAGCAGCTTAGGACCAGCTGCACAGTGCTGAAAACCTTTTCTGCTAATATTGTGTTGAACCTGGATCAGCATCTCCCCACGAAGTCTCAAGTGTGTACTCACTTCCATTATTTTGTTCATGTGTACAAAGTGAAGCAGTTTTAGGACAAGACTAAAGCATTACCTTTTATAATATCAGCTTTGTGCTTAGTTTCTGTTAAGACTAGGCTTCTTCAGTGTAAATTCTGCATTCAGAACAAGGCCTTACCTACAGTTACACTGCTCAGCGGTTCTTTGCAAAGATTTCATTTAGCTCTAGGAACATACAAAGGAAAAGTTGTCTCTAATAACAAGGGAGCAGTAATATTTAAGAAGAATAACAATATTACCTGAAGGAAGAGGTTTTTATGTTAAAAATGGCCACTATCAGTACGCAGGTCCTCTTAAAGAGAAATGACAAGCATTGAAGAAATGATCATTCTAGTTACAGAAAGCGGCTCTGCTATATCCTGTAGATGTCTGTATTGAAAACTGTGGGGAAAGGGCACAAAATTTGACACACAGCATCTGTCTACAGCTCATCTACAAAAGATCTATAGCTGGCTAATATTTCACATTCTTGCAGACACCTTTGACATTTACGTTATTCCCTGGAGTAAAGCAGCACTTTGATGATCTAACTTTAACGACAAGTTCTTGAGCACAGTCTGAAGTGCTGGCACACACAGAATGTCTTTTTGTACTGAACCTCCATCACTTGCAATCTCTTTGTAACCACTACATGAGAAACACCTATCACTTTATTTTCTAAGTCTCTACAGTCTGCCACAAGTTACTAATGAAGGAAAAGATTTCTTCTCTAGCTAGAAAAATTCTTTCTTATCCTGACTAACGGTTGTTCCATGTGAGAAATGGAACGCATTTCTTCCCTCCTTGGCTTACGCTAGTTTTGACTCGGAAAATGTGTGCAATGAATTGAGCTGACAGGGATATGAAGGCAGAGGCTTAAAGGACATCAAAAGTGTTAACATTACGGGCTTTGTATAAATAGTCTTATTGATACAACTCTCCAAGCATCCTTTATCTTCTTGTCCACAGATACTACAGAAAGACTCAAATGCTTAATTTTATGTCAAGTGCACAGTCAGCACATTAACAGTTCAGTATAGTCTTTTAAAATGGAGGTTTCAGCATATTCACTCCTTGAAGTAGACAGTTCAGCTGCTATTTTAAACACAAGGCTTGACTGTTCGTTACTCTTCACTTTGCATTGTTCCTCACATCAAGGTAAAACACATAATGGTGATTTTTTTCCATGTTCCCCTTAAAAATACTGATCCAAACAACTGATTCATCCCACAACTTCAGTGACAGACTGATGGGAAAGTTCCCTCTCGTATAAGTACCCTAAAAATAACAGCAGAATCGAACTTCTGAGATTCAGATTACATACAAGTGAGATTCAGATTACATAACAAAAAGCAAGTCCTTGTAAGTCCTTAGATGCATATAATGTAGAAAGAATAGCAAGTTACTAGCTTTCCAGGTATTCATATAATGTGCTGGAATTCAACAGTAAGCCTATCAGCTCAGCGTATACAGCAGCTAAACAAATTACAGCAGGAAAGAGCTCACACAGACGCATTATGCAGCAAAACAGAAGCAGTAATTTCCCCCCATCCTGTGACTCCCATCCTCGTTTCTGTGAAACATGAAGCTCCTCAGTTATTGCATTGAGTTTGGAAAACTAAATAAAGAAGAATAGAAGGCTTAACTCTTTTTCCTACTAAAAACTATGCTTTAATGCAATCTCCAAGATTTTTAGAACACCTAGACATAGAAAGGACAAAATAAAGATATGAGACATGGAATCTGGAATGATTCATTTCACAAGATTTTGAAGATGTGTAATTTAAGTATAGCAACTGTGTGTTTCACTTAAAATATGTAAGTAATTGACAGTCTGTGAAGAACCCATTAGGAATATTGAAAACCATCCATCAGACAAATCTAGAGAAAGCCCTCTTCCCAGTTGAATAGTATGGAACGCTATACCACAGATGCAGTATTAAAGGCCATTAAACAACTCAATAGCTATGCTGGGGACTGAGAGGTCACAGCTTGTCATGTAGCTGATCAGAACCCGAACCTTAAACCCTTCCTCAGTTCAGGGTGTCAAGCTGCAGGAAAGTCATGCATTGAAGGTCATGCATCACATTTTATACTGAGAAAGAACT